GATGCCTCACACTGGTTCAACAGTACTGGACTCACCTCCGTATGGTAAATGGCCATGACAGCCGTTAACGGCAATCTAGAAACTTGAGATAGTTTTAATACGATTAATGCATCAGTTATATATATCAGGAATTTGAGGAGGGTGCCACCGGTGGGCGAGTTAAACAGCGGATGGGCACGGACGCAACGGTGCGTTTTGATAGGTCTCCTGAATGAGCAGTTTTACGTCAAATGCGACGCTCTCAGGTACGCGAGAGGAAATTGGGATGCCGCAGGTTGAATGGGCTCAAATTGGATTTGAGAATGCCAACCTGGGGCAAATTGGGATGGATGACTCCGGGAGTCGGGTAATGAGTAGATGGAAGAGAAAAAAAGATATAATCGCTCTGAACTGCTTCAGATGATCATGGTTCCTTAGCTCTTCATCGTCTCATCTTGCACTTGGCAAAAAGAATGCTTCTGTTCACGCCTTCGTTTGACATGCCGATCGTCCCCGAATTTTGTCCAATAATTACCAGAGGCAGAGCTGGAGACCGATTGGACCAGTCTGCCTGGCTCATGCCATGAGCTCCCTTCCGGCAGGTGTCCAACGTTGGACCACAAAGCATGTCATGGGTATGTGTGGTGTAGGGAAGTTCAAAGTCCGGTGGGGTTCCGCAGACTCAGCTGGGTGCCCCTGCTGTGGCGAGTTCGAGGACCACCTTCATGTTCCTCGATGTATGGCGCCCTTGACAAGTGCGGAATGGGATCGCCGGACGGCGACCTTGGACCAATGGTTGGACGCCCAAGTCACTGACCCAGCCATCAAACACGCTATTCTTCATCTTTTTCAAGGGGTTTGTGATCTGCTCCTACCTTGCAGTCGGTTGGTCCCAGTTCGTCTTCGCCGCGCTTTCCTCTCCCAACAACACATCGGCTACCAAGGTTTATTGGAAGGCCGGCTGTCTGTTCAGTTGGCGGCCCTGCAGGAACAGTACCTTCAGTCACGATGGAGCCAACGCTCTCCAACCCTGTGGGTCTCTCGCCTGTCGCATCAGCTGATCTTGCTTGGGTTTTATATGTGGGAACACCGGAACTTGGTGCAACATTCGGAGGACAACGGACAGCTACGCGAACGTAGCCGGTTGGTGAACGACGGTATACACTCTCAGTTTGACATGGGCCCAACTGACCTTCCCAAGGTAGTTCAACGCATGCTTGCCGTGAAACACGGAACAGTGTTGAACAAGCCGTTGGTCGATAGGGAAGAGTGGCTGAAGTTGGTTAGAATGGAAAGAAAGGCCTACCGCCGAGCTCTGGCGCCTCAACGCCGTATCCTTCACCGCTTCTTCCACCCGGCCCAGGCCCCTTCACCCGTTTCGAGGAATCAACGCCCCGAAATCACCCCGCCCCGTCGCGGGTAGAGTTAGGATCCTCTCGATCCTGACTACTTGTAGAGCAACTTCTGTCCACCAGATGTCTCCAATGGTTCAAACTAGTTGTTGACTCGTCGCTTCACGGTACTTGACCTTTACAGCCGCTTATTCCACCGGCAATCATATGCGCTAGATAGCATTTAATCGATTAATGTTTCAGTTATTATTATCGTCCAATAATTGCCGTTACTTTGCTTAAGCGACTGACGACATGACTGTTGGCGTGAAGACAGATGTCTTCTCTTGCCAGTCCGTCTACCGTCTTGCCTGATCAACAGTGGTAGTTACCTCGAGTAGGATATCGGTACCTGGTACGCTTTCCCTACTCTACCGGTACTAATCTACGGTAGTTGTATACGACTGTCACAAGTAAAGCACAGACGCCGATTTGGTGTCTTGCTCGCTCGTCAATCAGTCGTCCGAAACGTAACGTCAATCGAACTGATCGAAACACAAAACCGTTACAATCTTAATTCAAACAAATTTGAAACCTCTATCAATCAGTACTTTACCAGGTATCAATACCGGTACCACACACACAAACCAAGACGATGGAGGCGGTGATCGCTATTATATGTGGCGAGCTTGAAAAGAAGCTTTCCAAAAAAGATGAAGTAATGCACTCTGCGAGGGCCATGGCCCTTGAGATACAAAAAAGCGTGACAGTTTCAGATCTGGAAGAAAGCATGTCAAAGGTGTCTTTGGTGAAAGATGATGATCCCTTCCCTGAAGTAAAGAATGGAATTCTTCCAATATATCTCCGCCTACTAGACAAGTCAATGTCGTTGCAAAGTACCAAGAATGATGACGAAACTTTAGAATTATTCATGGGCTTAGTTGCAGCGCTGTCAGTACTGTCTGGAGCAAATGTTGCCGAAGCATTGGTTCGAAGAACCGTTTTGTATTCGAATTCCATTCTTGAGAGAGTGCGTAAAAGAGCATTGGTTTTCATTGGGTTTCTTGTGGCTCATGTTTCTGAAGAACTAAGAGAAGGTTCTAGCGATTTGGTCTCCATGATGGAAGATGCTGTAGTATTGCGGTTGAAGGACAAAAGTAAAACGGTTCGAATTAGTGCGATTGAGGTGTCGGTTTCATTCTTGGATGCAAAGTGTCAATCAGAAAATCTTCTGAATTCATTGTTGTGGAATTTATGGCACGACCCCTCGGCGGCGAGTCGCGGTTCTGCGGTTAAAGCTTTGCCAATAAATGAAATGACAATCGAACATGTTATTCAACGCATACGAGATTCCGAAAAAAGTGTTAGGGTTGCAGCACTACAAGCACTGACAGCAACCTTAGATTCAGTTTCGCTCATGTCCCCTGACACCTTTGTCGAAATCATTCGAGGAGGATTCTCTGATCGGTACGTGCTCGAAGACAGTTTTCTTTGCTGCGTTTCTGAAGTTTCTCATTCGCATTGCCATTTCCGGGATTAGATGCACCGCCACAAAGGAAGCAATGCTTTCACTGGTATTTTGTAATTGGATTGAAGTTCTGGACTATGATTTGCTACAACTACTTCGGCAGGTCGATCTTTTTGCAAATGAAGAGGAATGCGGGGTGCTCATTTCTGAGATAATGAGTTTCTTGGACGCATGCAATGACGAGACCCCAGACTATCTTAACGTAGTGAACATTCAAGCTCTCAGAGCAAGTTTGGTCCGCCAGATGGGATCGTTTGTGCAGTCGATCGAATTGAAGGAGTCTGCAACAGCTGAGGAAACATTTCTGTTTCGGCTTGCACTTTGCAAAGGCGCAAAGTCGCCAGATATGCTTTCCCCAGAGAATTATAAAATCTGCAGCTCTTTGGATACCTCGGAACTGTGCAATCAAATTGCCCGACACTCTCTTTGCTTGAAAAATGCCATCGAAGAGGAAAACCCAAATCGGCAAGAAGAATACGCCTTTCACTGTTGTCACCTGATGTATATAGCTGGTTTCGTTTCCATTAGCGAAGAGGGGAGCAAGCGACATTTCATAAACTTCATTGAACAGTTCCTTACTTCAAGAGATACTCCCGATGGACTGATCGATCGTTCCATATCGACACTCTTCGGTTTTGAGCGAAAAAAGATCGACAGTTTCGGTATGGTGTATCGAGTCCTTCATCGTTTGTCCCGTGAAGTTGCTGAGGAAACCAAAGACGAAGCATGGATCAATGCACGGTACATTGCCATTCTTGCTCCAGCCTTGGAAATCTCTCCAAGAGACGCAATTGATGAAGATTTTGCTTTTGAGATTTCATTTATGATCGCGGCCTCGATCACAGATACAGCCGACGATATCCGAGAACTTGCTGTCAGTTGCCTCGGAAAACTTGGATTCTTCAACCCCCCAACAAGAGTATTGGGGGGCATCAATCCAAGTCTTTTGGAATTAGCACTTAACGAAAAAGAGAAATTGGCAATTCGAAGTCAAGCTTTGCTTTCGCTTTGTGACTTGGCGATGCTATCTCAAGAAGAGCTACAGCGTCAACAGCGACCGAATGATTCATCTTCCTTTGTCCAAGCACTGGAAACATTGATTCGGAACAGCAACCCGTCTGTCGTTGCTTTGGTCGGCGAAGTCACCATGAAACTTCTCCTAGATGGACGAAGCACCGAGAGAAAGCTGCTTGCCTCTCTTGTGGCAATTTACTTCGATCCAAACCAAAACAAAATGGATACAGAGTTCTCTGAGGCCAGAGCGGTGGGAAGCAGTATTCGCTTGCATCAACTACTCAGCGTTTTTTTTCCTGCATTTGTGCTAAAGTCAGACCTTAACCGCGATATGCTGGTTGGTTCGCTTGGCCTCGCTCTTGAATACTCTTCGAATACAAAGTCAGGTAAATCCTCAAAGCAAGGTCCAAGATTTCCGATGTTGAAAATGATGGAATACATCATGGCAATATCGGAAAATGAGTCTAGGTCTGTTGCTATATCGGTATGCGTTCAAGTCGCACGATTTTTGGTATCAGCTGGATCTCTACCAGCCGTTCAATGTAGAGCATTCTGCAGCTTTATATTGCAGCATGTTACAAAAACACAGCTGGATAGTGACGCAAACGTTCGCGAACTGAATCTCATTTTAGAAGACCTACGGATGATTGTACAAGATGAATCCGCTTTAGAATCTTTGTCACAGGCAGCTGGTAGGCTAGTCGACCTGGAAGCATCCAGGCCGAATGACGACTCGGCGTTAGCAAGTGATTCGGACTCAACTGGTAGCGATTCCGAGCTATCGAAGACTTCAGTTCTTGCCGACTCCACAAATGCCTCGACTTGCTCGAGTTCGAAACGATACGGCGGACGAAAGACCCAGAGCATTGCCTAAGCTGATTCCATTCGGAAGCCAATGTATGACGATGCGCTACAAAGCCAACATTCATAGTCGTAAATAAATCGGGGTAAAATGATTTGATACACAACTGTTTACCCAAAAATGGTTGACTACGCTTTGACTGATACCCGTTCTTCTACCCAGACGTCGTGCCTGCCATCTTCCAAGAGAAAATGATCGGATTGCGCTTCCTTCTACTACCAAACTGCCACAGGCCCAAAAGGCAGATCATTTCCTGGGGTGTAGTCACGATCAACACCATCTGCTGAAATCACAACAGTTCTGATTACACCTCCCGAGCTTCCATCTCGACACATTGCATGACTACAAGCTTTTTTCGCGAGATTTCTAGCTTCTGCCATATCCATCCCATTCGAAAATTCAGCATCCAAAAGACCAGCAATGAAAATACTTCCAGAACCCCCAGTAGCAAAAGGTAGTTCCAAGCAACTCCCACCCAAAGTGATGGTGTATACGCTGCCACCGTGGACAGGATCCCAACCAGCAACAATAACCCCGGCTTGAAGTTGATCTTTGTTTTGGTAGATGAGTCGGCGCATCAGATGAGCAGCTGTTTTCACTGTTGGAATGCGTCCGGTGTCCAAGCTGAAATCGTTAACCGTGAGGGCAGTGTGCTACCGAGCAAAATTAAAGGAGAAACCTCTCTTACCTCCACTGACTAAGATAATAATGGACATAGTCCGTCAATGCCTGAGTATCTGCTGCACTTCCACTTCGACAACAGTAAATGTAATCTGACAATTGGACGAGCTTGTCACTAACACGATTTGCAACATAAGTTCCGGTCGATGTTCGTGAATCAGCGCATACAACTACACCTCCTTCGAAAGGTAAAGCCAAAATTGTGGTACCTGTCAGCACTTCTCCTTCTCTGTTCTTCTGAGACATCTTGGTCAAGGTTCAACGTTTCTGTCTACTTTTGTAGTACAAGCGTATCTGGAAGATGATTAATCCTTAAAATCGAATCCGAGCGATTGTCAAAGAATGTTCGACTGAATCGAATCAACAAGCAGTTGTTTGATTCATTGGACTGCATGACGACTCGGAATGAATGAATCCATCGCTCGGTCGTGTGTTCGGACAAATTTGACGAGAGCCATGCCAAATTCCTTGTATCTATTGACGCAAATGGCAACAAGTCTTTAAGTACCACATAAAATAAATCAATTCCGGACGGAGAGATTTCAGTCGACTGCAAAACTCGGAATTGCGTGAGTGTCTCCATTTTCGCTTCGTTTTGAGAGATCATCATCAACAAGATATATTAAAAATACACCAACCATAGTGTCAATCAATCTTTCAGTATGCGATGTGTTTCCATCTTTCTGCTTTCGCTGGGCCCTGGGCTTGTGCAATGTCAAGGCAGTCAAAATCAAGATGCACCAATTCAAAGTGGCCCAACAACGAACCAAGATCGTGTTGTTGATTACCCTTACTGCTACGAGGCTCTGAACAGACATGACAGTGATTTGAACAAAAGGATCACAAAGAGTGAATACCGTGGCTTCTGTCAAGACTTTGGCGGTAACACAGAATGTCTAGCGAATCTAGACGAGCTACCAATCGAGCTGCAAGCAGTGTGGAATGAAATAACATGTGAATGTGCTCAAAGAGGCGGAGCTGGAGACTGCTGCGTTGGATCAAATGCACACATTCCTATCAATGGTGTTCTGCCTACTGACACAACCACAATTTCGCAACAGCAATTCTTACGACAAGCATGCTTGCGCACAGACCAGGCAATTATTGCTTACTGTGGGCCTCCACCAATTCCTCCAGTTATTGGCCCACCAGGAGGTCTTGTTTTAGTTCCTCCAGCAGCGTTTTCAGTACCGGGTCAATGGGGAATCATCGCTGCGGCCATTATTTTGCTCCTGTGCTGTTGCCGAAGAAGATGGTTTTTCTTTCCTGACAAGCAAGAAGACGACTCGTCAAGTGAGTCGAGTAGCGTTGATGGCGGCAGTGCAGCGCATAACGTTGTTGAAGATGCTGAAGCCGGTGCTATGGATAATGCTGATGCTGCAAAGAAATCATCCAAAGCGAAAAGCACCGAAGAAGCAAACCTTGGAGGCACAACAACATTCGGCAGGACCGTCCAAGAACCCGAGTACGAGGACGATGAAGAATACCGAAAGACGAAGTATGAGCAATATGACCGACCAAACGACCCAGGAGATCCATTCAACCTGCGTCCAACCGACAAGCCCCCGCCTCCACCCCAGGGCGAAGATCCGTACAGTCTCGAGCACTACACACCAGACGGCGGTGTTGTTCAGTATGAGCGCACTGGTGAATGGTCTTACGATGCAGATGGAGGCTATGTTCCAGAAACTCGTCCTGACAAGGAGAAAACTGAGAGGAAACCCAAGAAGTACCAGCGAGCGGAGAAGAAAGCGCCCGAGGTTGTTGACAACCGCAAAAAGCGAACCCTTGAAGCCTACGGTGGGGGTGATATCTTTAATCAACTCGATGGAGAGGTATCAGATGCCAAAGGTGGCGGTGATGGCATGTTTGATTGGGTCATTCGTGAAACATTGAATACTTTGGATGACAACGCCCTTCACTTGGATGAGTCAACAGACGAAGAGTAGTGTCAGCAGTCACGGCAAAAAAGGTGCAATACGATAGTAGTCTCTGTAATAATTTTTCCATCAGTTTTCTTTTCTCACAGAACATATCTGTCTCATCGATTCAAACGATAAAGCTTCAAACACAGGTAGATCAATCGTGTGCCAGAGTCCTCTTGTCCAACCATTTCAGTGGACTTGAGACATCATCAGGCTTAGCCTGATATCTGGATTAGGCCATTAGCGGATGTGTCACCTAAACGCATTTGCCCCGGTCGACGTCCCCAAAAACGCTGCAAAGCGCCATATTGTCTGGAGGAACAAGAAAAGACTTTAACAGAACTCCAGAAGGATAGTTTAATGTAGCATGTGCGCAAGCGCTGGTTTCCTCCAAGGGTGAGGTGGGACTAGGGTAATCTTAATAACTATCTATTCCTAGACTTCAAATTCACTCTGTCAAATACAGAGCAGTCTTTTCAAAAGGAATGAGCTGCAACT